GGGGGGGGCGGGGGTGACGGAGTTAATATTCCCACTGCCTGTGAGGTCTTCCCTTGGGCTTTTCCAAAGGTCAAGGTCTTTGCCAATCTTTCAACTCAAAACTCACAACGCTTTTTCTCCAGGGAGCCTCACTATGTTAGGCATGATCATCGGCCCTGGTTCCCTGGCCTCTATGCCAGAGTAAATTACAGAGCTGTTTCTTATGGTATTGAACTAGTCTGTGGTTTCTTGATCTATTACCACCTCTGGGTGCTGTGTTCTATGAGGGCTGTGTCAGGTCTCCCCAGACCACTGATTAAGATAGACTGCACACGGTGTGATCTAACTGCAGACAGTGAACCTGCGTTCACCAGAGGTAATCAAATAGGTTGATGGCCCATCACAGAGGCTCTGTGGCGGGTGGAAGCCTGTGTGCCTGGTAAGGGCTGGACCGCAGCCTCCTAGCTCATCTAACCCTGACATTCCACATTGGTCCGCTCCTGGGTTGCTTTCCAAACTAGTCATGTAAATAGGAAGGATGCACACAGGGACCAGTCCAGGAGAATCTTTCCCAAGGCTGCAATGAACGCCTGCTACTTACTTTCCAGCTGCTTCCCAAGCTCTTCCTGAATGAGCCGTCGAAGCGTTTCCATGGATGGAGACTCACCCTGGGAGGGAGGGAAGGTTGAGTTATTCCTCCTCTTGCTTCCCACGATCCCTGACCCTGCACAGAACCGAGAAGCTCAGAGGCAGCAGAGACACCGGAAGCCACTGTGCCAAGGTGAAACGGTCGCATCAAGTCTCCATGCTCTCTCCCAGAATAGCTGAAGGGAGGCAGGGTGCATCCTGCCCAGGTTCAGATGGCCTTTCTCCTCCACAGAGCTCTGCACGTCCTCTCTGAACCCATGGGGAAGTGTCCGCCCCCCCCCCCGGGCTCCTCTCTGTCTGCCCAGCACCGGCATGGCCTTGTTCTTGTCTGGCTGTTCCAGATGTCTCATCCCTCGTCACAGCGGTGGGATGTAGATTCGGAAGCCAGCTCCCACAGGGGTTGGCTGCAGACGTCCGGCCTCCTCAGGGAGGTGAAAACTCAAGACTGACCACAGTAACTGGATCGCCATGTCAGAGCCGGCAGGCACAGGCAGGCACCCCACTGCGGCTCTGTGGGCCTGAGCAGCCACGGGGAAGCAGGTGGGAGAGCCCAGTGGCCCGGAAGACAGCCCCAGCAACATGCCCGTGGGGAACGCTCCGCCATTACCATGTTATACCTCACGTGCCATGTTACAGTCTGTGCAAACAGTTCTGCCAGCAGCATAAAATGCGTTACAAGGAAGAAAAAAATACTACTACTTTATGAAAGGGGGAGTGTGACTATAACCGAAGGACTCATACACGTGTGTGAAAAGAATAAAACGGACTAAAATTGATTAATTTTTATTCTATCATTTTGATGATACCAGGGTCTGACATTAGGGCCTTGTGATTGCTAGGCAGGCGCTCTGCCCCATGAGCCGTAGCCCCAACAGGGTCTTATTTATGCATGGGTTAGCCTGGAATGTGATCCTCCAATTTATACTTTTTGTATGACTATGATGACAGGTTTGCATCAACCATGGCTAGCTTCCCTCCCTCCAACCCCCCATCCTGGGGCTTAAACTCAGGGCACAGGTGCTGTTTCTGAGCTCCTTTTACTCAAAGCTAGTACTCTAACTCTTGAGACACAGCTCCACTTCTGGCTTTTGGAGGAATTTATTGGAGGTAAGTGTCTCATAGACTTTCCTGCTTGGTCTGGCTTTGGTCTGCAATCCTCAGATGTCAGCCTCTAGAATAGCTAGTATTATAGGTGTGAGCCACCAGTGCCTGGCTCATAGCCAGATTTTTTTATTGTTTGAGATGGAGGTGTCACAAACAGTTGCCTGATCTGGCCTCATACTGAAATCCTCCCAATCTCAGCTTTCTAAGCACCTTGGCTTACAGGTCTAAGTCTCCAAATGCCCCCTTTAAAAACTGTCAGCATAGTGAGGAAAGAAAGGAAAGAGTAAGAAGGGATGAATATTTTTTTTTTCTTTTGTTGGTCGTGGAGCCTGAGCTCTGGGCCTGGGTGCTGTCCCTCAGCTCTTCAGCTCAAGGCTAGCGCTCTACCACTTGAGACACAGCGCCACTTCTGGCTTTTTCTGCTTATGTGGTGCTGAGGAGTCAAACCCAGGGCCTCATGCATGCAAGGCAAGCACTCTATCACTGAGCCACCTTCCCAGCCCCCCCTTTTTTTTTAAAGATTTTTTTTCTCAGTCATAGGGCTTAAACTCTGGGCCTGGGCACTGTCCCTCAGCTCTTCAGCTCAAGGCAAGTGCTCTACCACTTGAGGGGATGAATTTGATCCATGTACATTAAATGCATGTACAGAAAATCACAATGAATCCCCTTTGTGCAATTAATATGCTCTAACAAAAAGAAGACATAAAATATTATTACGCTAAACAAATGTCTCTTTCTACATCAGGAAAAATGTGACCCAAAGGGAAGAATGAATACTCAGGAAGCAGCGAGAAGAGCAAGGTGGATCCACAAGCACATGGCCGGCCTCCCAGGGTGAAACCTGGATCATAAAAGCCATCTACTAAGCTGCCACGTTTGTGGGAGGGGGGAGGGGAAGCAGGAACAGAAGAGAGGAAAGCCTTGAGGCTCACTACCAGAGAAACAGAGCACGGGATGGCCAGAGCAGGGGGACGCGGCGACCGAGCAGCTGCTGGTAAAAACGCTAACAAAGCAAAAAACAACCATTTTTCTTCCCTCTTAGCAGAAAAGAAGGGCAGGCCCAGAGGAGAGAGGGAACTTGTCTCTGGCCTCATAGACAGCTCCTGGAGGCCTGGGATCTGCACCTGTTCCTCCCCAAGTCTCCAGACTTCCTGCCTTCCCCTCAGGAGCCCCATGCAACATCAGCCTCCTTACCCTCAGTCCAGGAAATCCAGGCTGGCCTGCGGGTCCGGGAGGCCCTGCTGGCCCACTCTCCCCCGGTGGCCCTTGGGGACCCATCAGTCCTGTGTGGCCTTTGTGGCCTGGGATTCCCGGGTCTCCAGGCTGTCCCTTCCCACCAGGGGCTCCTTTGTCTCCTTTGGTACCAGGATCTCCCTAGGGAGGAGAGAAGTGTGTTGGCAATGAGTCCCGGCTGGAAGGGAACACATGCTGTGGCCAGAGGTCCCTTCCCCTGGTGCCCTGACTCCAGGGGCGGCTCAGTGCTAGGTGACCTTCACGTGACTCCATGACTTGATCACATGACTTGATCAGACCCACCTCATCTACCATCCTGACTGAACAGAAAAAGATCACTACCAAATCCCAACCAGACTATAAAGCACCCTTAGAGCTGTCATGTGGGGAGGGGAGAAGGAAGGGGTTTGTCTATGCAACAAAGAATACTGTAGTTACAACATAAGGATTTCCATCAAGAACCACGTGGACAGCCTTCCCGGTTTCAATATCAACAGAAAAACTCAGGTATACAACAATGTCCAAAGTATATTAGAAGTGGGGAGGGGTAAGATACTTACCATATTTCCTTGGTAAACATAAAATATTTGGAAGACTACATAGGTATTTAATAAGGGCAAGGTAGCTAGAAACTCGGCCTGACCACCAAAGTGACCAGAGACTCTGAGAAAGAAGACTGCCCGGTTCTGGAATCATCCTCAGCATGGATGATTAAGCGGAGATCACCAGGACTGAAAGGGCAGAGGGAAAGGGAGACACGCACTGGGAGAGAGGCAGAGAGAGGCGCGTGCAGCAAGTGAACAGCTCCCAAGTCCGTGTACAATGCTCCAGAAAGATAAAAAATTGGTGTACAGGGCTGGCCCAGGGCAGAGGACAGGCTCCAGGGCAGGATGGAAGAGGCTAATGACTTCCATTGTTTTTACTCTAGTAGTTCAAATTGTTCGGTTACGTCCCTCTACTTGTTTTGAAATTTCACCAATAAAGGACAACATGTACACATATGGAAATAGCACATATAAAACCCTTTGTCTAATTAATATATGTTACTTAAATTCAGCAACGATCAGAAAAGCCATGTATCAAAACTTAATTTATTCAGACCCAAGGGAAGTCTCTTCAGTTTTGCACATTGGATGCATTTCATGAGATCACTGCCGTCTATCTTTAGTGATCTTGAATTCAGAGGTCAGTAAAAGCTTGGGTTCCTAATCTATCTGGAAGGCAGACTCCATGGTACATACACTATGGCATTTCCTACCCATTGAACATCTGCATATCACTTGGCGGTAAGAGGACTTGGCCCCTACTTCAAATGTTCCCAAGATTACCAAGGAATGGGGAGTCAAAGGCCCCCTGGCAGGATTCCAAGAAACCACTTAACCAGGGAAGACAGCACGCCAGTTATTGATTAAGTGTTAGAGAAGAGGCTCCTGAACTCCCTGGTTGACAACTAGAATTCGGGTCTGTCCCTTGTTCTGTGGTCCCCAGGAGCCCCTGAGGGGCAGTCTTAGGGGTCGGTCACTCAACATCCCCTTCATTCAGGAACCAACTGCCATGCTCCATGGAATCAAAGTCATTGGAAGGAGACAGGGAGAGAGATCAGAAGGGGAGGAAACACTGGGACTACTTCCACGTCTCCTCCGTCTTCTGTCTGCAAAGGATCACAGCACCCACCCATACAACGGGCAAAGCATGCTGATACGATGTCTTAGAAGGACCCTATGAACGGCAGGGGCACGCATTTGTTCTGGGGTGACACCCACATGCAAGTGTGTCCAAAGACAGGACTGTGGGCAAAGAAGACATGCAAAGCCACCAAAGGAAGCAGCAGTTCTGTGTCTATGTCTGTGTCTGTGTGTGGGGGTGTGCGTGCCCACGCACACGCGCACACGCACACACACACCAGTGCACCCTTCCCCCACCGGCTTTTCTGCAAGGAAAATGATTTCTTCTCGTTGTTTCTTTGGAGAAATGAAACGTAAAGAAAGCTTTTCCGAGTGTGGCGCCAAGGCAGCTCATTATGGGAAAATCTGTTCCCTTGTCACCTCCGGTGACAAATCTGGCTCTGGGCGAGCTGGCACTACGGGAGCCAGGCCCGTCAAGCACACACATTCGCACATGGCGAGAGGGAACCTGTCAGAGCCTCCCGGCACTTGCCTTTGCATGCGTAATTACCATCATTTTATCCCTTAAAAATAACAACCAAAAAGAAAAGGAAAAAAATCACATTGACTACAACAATACTGGGGGGGAGAGAAGCCCCTCAGTGGTGCTCAAGATTTTACAAAGAACAGAAAGGCCGACAGGAAGCAGCTGTCCACTCCGCAAACACCACCTGCAAAGTTCCCTCGACACTGAGAGAGGCCACAGGGAGGCTGTTCAAGGGGATGACCCCCCCCCACACACACATACACACACTTACCCTTTCTCCTTTGGCTCCTGGCTCTCCTGGCTTCCCAGGGGCCCCCTGCAAGGAGTTAAGTAGATGGTTGTCATTTCATCCCGGCCTGCTGAGCTGGCCTCTTTGCCTTTTGCATTTCTTCCACACCATGGTATGCATAGGACAAGGCATCCTGGAATACCTACAACGGATCCCTTAAGAGCTCCAGTTTTGTCCATTACAGGATTGGTACACTTTCCGCTTCACTCTTTTCCTCCTGTCCCTGGAGACCCCGAGCGGAGGAGGCACCAGCCTGCAGTGAAGACTCTCCAGCTTCCTCCTCTGCCTCTCTCAGGGTAAACCCCGTCCCCCTTGGCATACACCAGGGGCCTGGCAAGAACTGGCCTTTGATAGGGTCCCATCACTGCTGGCCTGGGGGGGGGGCAAGGGGACAGGGCTGGCTCTTGCCAAACCCCATGACTAGGTCCCCAACAGCAGGAATGTGCTGATTTGCCATCTCCTGGCTTTCTACACATCATTTTCTCTGTTCTTGTGACACACTCCCAACCTCTGCTCAGATAAGTAACTTGCCAGGCAGAAGAACCTTCTACCTCCTCACAGTCCTAGGAGGACTGAGGGACACAGCCTTACACATTTTTCACTACTGGGACATGTGTTCAAAACATGCCAAACTCCAGGCTGGCTATAATGGGGAAACAAATTTAACCCACTGGTGTGTGTCTTAACTTCAGGTAGACCAAGCTTACATTGACTTCAGAAAGTAAATATAAACTTGAGAGCTTCTGAGCCTGGCCAAGTCTGCCACCCTGAAACCCCCATCCCATGGCACCCGGCCTCTGCAGAGATACAGGGGAGGCGTGGCCCTTCTCATCAGGAGCTGAGCTCCCCGCCTGGTCAAGAAGAACAAATGGGCATGGGCGATTCTTCTACATGGAAGATGGGTTTCATGTCTATAATAACAGCTCAAGAAGATGTTGTGCTAGTCCCGAAAAAGAAAAAAAGCACAATGTCAGAAAGAATACGAAAGGAAAAGCAGGTAAGAAAAGATGTCCCCACCCCAGTGGGTGGATGAGTTGAGACCAAGACTCAGACATGAGGAAGGCAGGGGTGGGTATCCTATGTATAATCCAGGAAAGTGCAGGAGCTTGAATTTGACAGAATAGGGTCTAACCATAACGGCCCTGGAGGCCGGCTCAAGATGGACTTTATTCTACTGGAGCCTCAGCCCAATGAGTAGCACATGGGGTGGACAGACTCACCTTCGATCTGGTGAGCAGGAGGGAGCAAGGACAATGAATGGTCGATGTGTGAGTGGAAAAGGGACACGGCCTGGGAGCAGGAACCCAAGCTGGACCCCACACTTCTCAGACATGAAGTCTTTGGGTTCAGCTTCCAGGAAGATACCCGGTGAAGGAAGTAGTCCAAAGTCACAGAGTCTTCCTCTTTCAAGAGGGAGGATGCGGGCTTTGAAACACATGAGCTGATGTCCTTAGGGCTCTTTTTCCAGAATCCATTCATTCGTCTCCCCATCCCTCATCAAACATTGTTGGTGCCCCCCTAGTGCTGAGGAAGAAGACAGCAGGTGCTCAGACCACACAGAAGGGCCTCTCCTTAGTATCTGGTGGTCAGCGGAAGTCAACACGGGAAAGAGAAGGGAGAGAGAGAGTCAAGACTTTCTGAAAAGAGGGACCTGGAAAAGAATTTGATGTTTCAGGAACTATAAGGTCAGAGTGACTGGAGCTCAGGGGCAGTGACGGCTCAGAGCATCTTGCAATCCATTGAAGGGGAAGAAAGGGCTGAGAAACGAAGCAGAAAGTGGCATTAAGTGCTTCAGTCACACGGACCCTTGGCACAGGGCAGCGAGGGCCAGGACAGACAAACCCCAGTAGGATGCAGCCGTGATGGTCCAGGAGAAGCACAAAGACAGTTGGGTTAAGGTCCACGTGGAAGCAATGGGGAGATCTGACTAGCACTGAGAGGCGCCATGAAGCCCGCATCGGTGTGCTGATGAAGAGATGGTCAAGGATGGTTAAGAAAAGAGATGTGTCCAGACCAGACAGTGCCCTGGTGGCTGTGCCATTGGTGAGCATTTGTGCAAGTCACAGCATGTGCCCCTGGTTCAAAAGGCACTAATGACAACAACACAATGGCAGGCTCCTGAGCCTGTCCAAACTGCCCAACCCTGGCTTTCAGTTCCCAAGGGAAGAGCAGTCCAGGGGGACAGGGTGGGCATACTTACCTCTTTGCCTGGAACTCCTTTCTCTCCTGCTTCTCCCTGCAAAACAGAACACAGGACCAGTTCACTCTGTGATATTGGCACAGTGTACCTTACGTGGCTGTCTCTGCCACACATTTCCATTCAGGTCCTGTTCTACCAATGACAGTAACTGTTTGATCCCAAACAAGGCTCTCAGCTCAGCCTGTGCAGAGGGAGGCAAAGAACTATCCCAGAGAAGGAGCAGAGCCTCCAGTCCCTGGGCATGACTCAACCTAGCCGTTAGCCACAGGATGACAATTTTGACAATGGTCTGATCGTGTGAGAGAGGCCATTCTGAGGAGGAGGTTCATAGCATGAGAAATAAAACACCACAAAGTCACCGAGGAAGATCACAGCAGGGAAGTCAGACAAGGCTGGAGGAGGCTCGCTCTGTCCCTGATGGTTAAGGAAGCTGTCATGGGCTCTTAAGGGCAAATCTTGACTCCTCTACTGATTGGCTGGCTCTATGATGTTGAACAACCCCCTTAAGTTGGATATGACTCTGATATATATATATATATATATATATATATATCACACACACGAATATATCTCTGTGTGTGTGTGCATGTGTGTGCGTGTGTGTGCGTGTGTGTGTGTGTGTGTGTGTGTGTGTGTGTGTTCAGACAGTGGCTGGCCCATAGGAAGGGTTGGACACATCATCGGCTATTTTCACTCTTATAGAATAACCATGGTAACACATGGGAACCTGTCTGCTCAGCAGCAGACGGATCATTAACTTGAGAATGAAGAAGAAGACAATCGAGTGAAGATATTTAAGTATCACTCAGAGCTTGGGAAGCAGCTCTGAGAGAGGATCACCTGTGGGAAGAGCTGGTCAGGGCCGGCCATGGGAGTAATCAGACAGGGAAGAACTCAGTTGGAGGGGCTGGAGGAGAAGATGGAGAAGCATTCTACCCTGGTATGTTTCACAGAACCCTCATCCTATCTGTTGGAATGCCAAGCTGAGGGCCAGAGACCACAGTGGAAACCCATGGCCCCGGTGCTGATGCTTGAGTCTTCTGCATCCCTGTCCCCAGAGAGGTGGCCAGGGTTCTCTCTGCATCCAGGTGTCAGGTGCAGACTCAAGTGCAGCTAGCTGGTGCAGATGCACCCTGTGGCCTCGAGGAAACCACCCGAGTCCGCAGCCCTCCCTGTCCATCTCGACAACGATCACCATCAAGATCTTCATCAGGGTTTTTGCTAAGATCATTCTAGCACCACTGCCCTCACCAGAAACACTATGGAGATCATGTGTTCCTCTTGAGCCTTGCACCAGGCCAGGCACCTCTAGAATAGTTCACCTGGATCTTCTCATTTGGCCCTCAGAAGTGGGCGAGGCTAAAAGACTGATGGAGTAAGGTCAGACCAGGGAAGACCTTGTAGACCCGCTTAGGTCAGACTTTATTTGAGGGGACCCAGAGGGGCACCTCATTCCAGGAAGAAAGAGGGAGCAGTGGTAGGTCACTATGCATAATGAGGTATCACAGGCCTTCGCGAAGCTTTCAGTCAGGGAGTGGAAGGGTTGAGAGTCAGGCAGGTGTGACCTCTGGGCTCTCCACGCCTGCCTCAGTCACGAGGTCTGTTGACACCGTGTGGTCATGACCCGAGGACACGGTACATGGTAGAGACAGTACTGAACATGAACATCACACCGCTGTGTACACATCTGGCCTGGCTGGGGTTCTCTGCTTACCGGTGGCCCCCGGGGACCCTGGAAGCCAGGAAGTCCTGGGCTCCCATTCTCTCCTTTGGTTCCTTTTTGGCCCTGTGAAGGAAAAATAGGAAATTAATTGCTCAAGGTCAAGGGTTCACCCGACCTTTGGACCCCTCTGAACTCGGAAGTCCCAAGACATCCGCCAAAAGAGAAGTCAGAGCCCCTTCCCTGTGTAGAGAGGGACTGGGAGGAGACGCGGGCCACTGCGGATCTCCACAGCACTGCTCTGAGGCAGAGGAAGAAGAGAAGTCCCTCCACACACAGCTCACGACCTTTGGGTTCAATGCAGCCAACACAACAGGGGGAGGATAATCCACACAAATCACCGAAAGCCTGTGATCCACCAGGATGTCCTCTCCTGAGGACACGGGCCAGCACTCAAGGCGTTGTGGGACTCTGTCTTTGGAAGATTCAGCTTTAGCATTTGTGAAAGCCATCAAGTGTGGGGTCAGCTCTTCGGGGACTAGATTTGACCTTGATGGAGCCATCCTTGTGGCCCCATCCTACCCCATGGGCCTGTCTTACCAGCAGGGACGTCAGTGCTCCCCGTGGAGGTCATAGAGATTGCCGTGAAGACAGAGAGGCCTTTTGCCCTGGCCCAGCAGGACAAGGGTGGTCACCAGGGTGAGCCGGTGCCCGGTAGGCCGGGTTTCTGGTCATTCTGCGTCCACAGTGCCCACACTTGTTTTCCCAGCAGAGGTCAGCCCAGGGCCCGGGGCCCGTTGCCTTCGGAGTGTAATGCCTGATTCCCCACACTTGCACATGCTTTCCCGAGTACAGAGGTCAATTCCAGCAAAACACAAATAGAAGCAGATTGGGCTAGGAAGAAACTAGTTGCCAGACTCAGACTTCTCCAACCACAGAATCCATCGAGGCACCATTCTCTCTACGGCGTCTCCCAATAATCCGAGCCTGAACTCCCAGTCTGGAGCCCTCAGTCTGGTGATCAGAACTGTGTTGGTCAGGCGTGCAGCCTTCCTTCCTCCACGACCTTCGGATGACCCTTCTCACTCCCCACCCATTCTGCCTCTATTTCCACCCGGCACACTCCCTCTGTCACCTACAATGGGCAACTGCTCAGCCCGATCCTTCCTCTTCTTCTGTACACCTACCAAACACCTTACTTCACATTGTGTTTCACTTTTAATAGTGGTTGAGGCCAGTGGCTGCAGACAGCAGAGAGGTAGGTGTATGATCACATGTATTTTAAATTTTGAAAGAGTTCTCCCCAGACCCTCTAGTTTCCTTCCACCCTCATTCTCCCAGTCCAACTCCAATTTCTCTACCAATGCTCCCAGAATGGAGACCAGACAACGTAAGCAATGTTATGCCCTCACAGGGATCCCCCACGCCACCACGTAGCCGTGGAAGGATACTCACTGGAGTTCCTGGACGGCCAGGGTCACCTGGGGAACCTGGTGATCCACTGTTACCCTGGTGGAAGAAACAGAAATGATAATCCTGCCAGGACTGCATGCCAGGGTGTCACAGATCGGGGCATGGCTGGGACAGGGCGTCACAGAGCCGGAGCGTGGCCTAGACATTGCTGGAGGGGAAGGGCCTGATCTCACACACTCTCTTCTCACTGGGACCAGTGCGGTTTGCAGGAAATCACTTTGTTCCTCAGAGATTTCTCCACTTGTCAGAAAGAGTTCATAATATTTAATTCATACGGCGATGGTGGAGCTAACTGAGTCCATGGGCATGCAAAGGCCTAGCCCAGTGACTTGTGCCTACAGCCCAGGCACGATAAAGAATCATGACCACATTCACTCCTCCATCCATTCATCCTTCAACTCAAGATGCTGTGTTTGGAAGGAAAGCAACTAAAAGGACCTGACGTAGAGATGACGGCTTGCCTCACGGAATGCTGCTCCCCACCGAGGATGTCCATGCGCTCGCCTCTTTCCACTACCCGGCCATGTACTAGACGAGGACAGGGAACGGAGGGGGAGATGCACAGCCCTGCCCTGGCAGGTCCAGGTTCGCGGGTGTGTTCACAGTGACTGCCTCAATTCAAATATTTTCCAAGGGTGTTTTCTGCCCATTTGTCATCGGATGAATATATTTAACCAAGAAGATTCCTGATAGAGTATTAAAAAAAAATCAGGAGGGTGAAGAATGTTCCTCAATACCTCCTTTTAGGCAACGATGCCTCAAATTCTTCCAACGGAATTGGCCTCACCCTCTGCCCACCATGTTTTGACTTGTGTGCCTCTCCTCCCTGCTACCAGGAGCCCAAGAGTCTGTGCCCATGACCCCCACGCCCGCAGTGTCCGGCACAGGTGTCTGGCACAGGTCAGGCACAGGAGTCTCTCTTCTTCAAGGGATGGGCCCAAGGGCCTCCCTGAGGCTCTTGTGAATGCTGAAATGCACAAAGCAGATCTTCACAAAGGTTTCCAGGAGACATGTTAGTGTGGGGGGGGCAGTGATCCCTGCCTGGGCACTTCGTACACAGCACACCTTCAAAGGGGCTTCACACACGTGCAAACATCATCACCATTTTTACAAGTGGAGAAACAGGCCCAGAAAGGTTAAACTGGCCAGACGCAGAGGGTCTATGTCTTCAATGTCTTTAGTCCTCTACCCCAGGTGAGGAAAGCCCAGGCCCAGCGAGGCTAGAGCTGCAGAAGGCTGAAATCCGAGCAGCAAGCAGGATCTGCACCAGGGCCCCGCCCTCGGTCCCTCCCAGGAGTGCTGCCAGCTACCTCTCCCTGCGCGCCCTCGCCCACCATCCCATCTGTGTCCCTCTAAAAATACGCGCTTCGCCAAATCCCTGCAGAAATTACATCTCCTCCCTCCTCCCTCTGGGCCCCTCTACAGCAGGAGGAGGAAAACAGGACACATCAGCACACAGCAGCCAAACCAGGCATGGGGTTGCCTGTCCACTGGGCACTGGAGACATTCTAGGGTCATGGAGGCCCTCCAAGTGTCTCCCCCTTTCTCAAGAATCCCCCTGGGAAAGTCCCCGGGTGGCTCCAGCATCGAGGGCACGGGAGGCTTTCCCCAGATATTGTGAGGCACACTGCGGCCTCGAGCTCCCTCCTTCCAGGATGACCTCTTTGACAAGGAAATCTGGCACACACAGGCCCGCGCTTGGATGTGTCAAGGGGATTAAGCTGCAGACTCTGTGCAAGATGGCTCGGGTCTAAATCCTGCCACAGCTGCTGACTCAGCTGTGTGATGTTGGGTGAATTACCTGGCATCTCTGTGCCTCCATTTTCCCTCTATACATGAGTAACCACCACACTTGCCTCAGAGGTTTTGAGGAAAACTCAGTGAACAAATGAGGTTAGTGCTTCACAAAGTCCACAGCACTAAACCCTCCTGGTAGCTCCTAAAAGCCAGTGGCTAGAAGTGGTCATCATGAGGTCTATTGCCACCTCTGTGCAGATGCAGATTTTAAAGAAATAAAATGAAGGGTTGTTTTTTTTTTATGGCCACCACATACTTTCTATACATGAGAGCAACTCATAAATACTGTCAGCCACCAATGTAATGATGTTTTGGGGCACAACAGACTATATATACAACCGTGGTCCTGTAAGATTACAGTGGGCCTGAGAAGTTCCCAACGCCTAGTGGTGTCGTAACCATCCTGATGTCACCATGTTACAAAGGACCCGGACATGGGGGGAAGGGGCGGTACTGGTGTAACAAACCCACAAGAAGGATAGCATGTGCTTGTGTTCCATATGTGGCTCTTGATGATCCTAATAGATGGAGATTCCACAGGCTTATACACCACTGTGATATGCTTTCCAACTTAGTTTCAGACTATATTTCTACTTATGAACAAAGCAAGCTATAGCCCGACATGGTGGACACCTGTCAGCTACTCAGGAGGCTGAGGAAGGTGGACCTCAAAATAGAGGCCTAGTTAAGGATACCCTGCCTCAAAAACAAAAACAAAAGGACTGCAGGCATCACGCGAGCGGTAGAGTGCTGAGCGCAATCCCCGGAGTTCAATGTCTAGCATCTCAAAAAATAGCGGGTAAGTAATAACTTCCATAAAAGACTACCCACATACTCAGACAACCACTCATTCATCTTGTGTGCATCAGGTGAGTTGATCACATCCTTTTGTTTTTTTCTTGCATAGCACTCTGTGTGTACAAATCTCTTCTCTGCTCTCCATACTCGCTGGCTATTCTTAGGTAAGCGTTTACTTAGGTGTGCAAATGGGCAGAAACAATACTGAAAATATTGACTAACATCTGGGAGGTGAGGAGGTTAAACTGTGTCTCCTCAAATTTCATAGTTGGAGTCTTAGTGATCTTGGTACTCTCAGAATGGGACCTTAGTTAGAAACCAGGTCATTGTAGACTAATGAGTTCCATGAGTTCAAGGTGTGGTAGGGTGGGATCCTCATCCAATATGTCCCCAGACACACACAGGAAGAACTTCCTGTAGATGGAGGCAGAGATGGGGTGATGCATTCACCATCCAAGGAAGGCCAAGCGGGCCGGAGCCCCGTAGAAAGTGCAGATGTATGGAGCGCCATCCTTTGGAAAGGCCAATCCTGCCCACACATGTCCCCATCTCCAGCTTCTGGCCTCCAGATCCCTGGACAATCAGGGGCCAAGGGCAGTGGCTCGAACCTAAAGCCTTGATTTTTTTTCCCCCACATCATATATGACTGCACCAGGGTGCACTAGCCAAACATCACCAGGATAAGTCCTTGCCAATGCATGCAGCAAATCCTTAAGGCAAAACTTACCGGGGGTCCCCTGGGACCTCGGGGACCCTGTAGCCCTGCAGGTCCGGCATCACCCTGGAACAGACAGACATGAGCCACGTCATCACAGAGCCACACATCAAAGAGGCTGATGGGCCAGCTTCCACTGTGGGCTAGACGGCACCAAGAGACCCAGCCGCTCCCTTATGAATCACTGGTAATTGCACATTTGCACAAAGCTGCTTCTCACAAATGAGGACACCTCGTGTAAGTTCTCACTGAGGCCTGAGGGTACATGCCCACTTGCTCAGGAATCTCACCCCATTTCCATCGTCTCCTGACTGAATCCTTCCAGAAGAAAAACAAAAATCTGCCCACCAGGTGCACAGGGCCTTTGGTGCTAAGCAGCCATGTTTCATCAAAGCACTACCATTTTTGTGAGGCCCGGGCAGCCTCCTTACTTGCTGTAATCCTACTGTGTTAGGGGAGAAGACTCAAGAGTTTTGACATGTTACCACACACAGTGGACTAGAAAACAGTCTAAAAGCCCAGTTTTTAAACTAAAAAGAGCCAGAGAGCTCAGATGGAGAAAGAAAGCATTTGCCCACCAGCTGGTGTCCCAGGCTCCTGCTCAACTCCATCTTGAGTGTGGTCTGGGCTGAGACCAGCTCCAATGCAACCTGGGGAGGCCTTTTCCCTCCAGTGAACACTGAAGTAGAGAAGTGGCTAAGCCAGGATTGCCCAACTGCCACCTAGCATCTGAGAGGCCCCCACGAGGCAGGGTTGGGGTGTGTTTGCGTTCAGCTTTGCACAGGGGGCTTCTTCACACACCGCATCGCTAGGGTAGCTGCTAAGGAAAAACATGGGACCTAGATCAGCTTTCTCCTTTGATCCCGTCTAGCTCAACTCAGGTCAGCCAAAGGGCCGGCGTGCTTCACGGCATCGAGAACACTGAGATGCGTCCACCTCACCAGTTCTCAGCCCAGTCCAAAGAGGGCAAAGGGCAGATGGAGGCCACCTGGGAGCACAAGACACCATGTTCATACTTTCCCCCAAAGAGCCATTCTCAGGAAACCAAGCTACTTCCTCCAGGGTCAGGAAGCCTGCAAGATGCCAAATACAAAAGCTGGCCAGCCACTGGGGACATGACCGCCTGGCAAATACTGGCTGCAGTCTGGCTGCATCTTCCTCTGGCTCTCCATAAGGAGAGTAAGTCCTTAACCTGTCCAGATCTCAGTGTTTTAATGATATCACCCAAGCAAGAAATATACCTGCACTGTCCTGATTCAAGACCACTTAACCCAAGAGTCATCTCAGCCATCTGAAATGACATGTAGCTGGGCTGTAACCCTAGCTCTTTAGGAGGCTGAGATCTGAGGATCATGGTTCAAAGCCAGCCTGGACAGGAAATCCTATGAGACTCTTATCTCCAATTAACCACAAAAAGCCAAAAGTGGAGCTATGGTTCAAGAGATAGAGTGGTAGCTTTGAGCAAAACAAATAAAAATAAAATGCTCAGGGAGAATACCCAGGCCCTGAGTTCAAGCCCCCAGACTGGCACTAAATTAATTAATAAATTATGAAATGCAGCATCTCATGGGAGAGGTGGAGATGAGGGGCTTATGATTACTAAGGAAGCAGGAGATGGAGGAAGATGCTAGGAGGAGAGGAGGCTGTCTGTCTTTCTAGGGCACAGAGTGTGCAACCAGTGGTCCTGCCATGGGTACCAACAGGCAAAGCACAGCTAATCCACAAGGCACAGGTCCCCACCATGGGCAGGAAGCCCTGGCCAGCGTGTGCAGTTCACTGTGTGGCACTTTACAGCATGGTCACCAGTCATTGCAGAGAGCAACTCCTGCTGTCAATCCCTGGTCTTCCCAACTCCCACAGACCACAGCACACTCAGGGTCCCCCACAACAACCCCACCAAGGCTGAGAATGCGGCTCAGTGGTAGAGTGCTGGCCTAGCATGCCTGAAGCCCTGGGTTCAACCCCTCAGTACCACATACACAGGAAAAGCCAGAAGTAGTGCTGTGGCTACAGTGGTAGAGTGCTAACCTTGAGCAAAAGAAGGGACAGCATCCAGGCCCTGTGTTGGAGCCTCAGAACTGGCAAAACAAAACAAACAAACCCGCAGTGAAAACACACTTACATCTTTTCCTGGTGTCCCTTCCTGGCCAGGGGGGCCCATGGCCCCAGGCTCTCCCTAGAAACAAGAAGAGGCTGTTAGGGACGGAGCTGCCTTGGCTTCTGGTTGCCTGGTTGGCTTCGGGGGCCTCAGGGGAAGTGGAAGAGAGACAGCAGTGCCATGTCGGAAGCACCTCCCACAGGGCAGAGCCTGCTGCACAGGGCGGGATCTTCATCACCCACGACCAGAAAGATTGCGGGGCAGAGTGTGGGGGGGGAAGCAGAAAGATTGCGGGGGGCCTCGCCTGCTTCCCCTGGCAGTACAGCAAGCCAAGGATCAGCAGGACCTGCTCAGGTCCTCTCTTTATCTGGTGGCCATGCCCCCCCCACTCTTTATTGTGGCTTTGTACTGGTTATTAGCACAGCCACAGACCCCAAGGTCCTTTTCATCCGGGCACTGGAGTTAAAGGAGAAGGAAACAGACTATGGGAGAAGGTGGACCTTGGGGAAACGGTCACGCGCATCTTCAGGGCTTCAGGTTTGCCCTCTGCAAAATAAACCCAATGCCAAGATTTGTTTCACAGGCTCCCGGGCAACACCCACATCCCAGATGCTGGAAACCACCGCAGAGGTCGGATGGCTCCGGTCAAACTGGCCGTGCATCTGCCTGCCCTCGAGCAGGACCAGCAAGAGGAATCGGGCTAAAAGAGGGCGTGAGAGTGGAGCCGAGGGTTAGGTAACACAGCATGTCCCTGCTGCGCACCTCAGCAGCCCTCCCTCTAAATGTGCCCACTCTGACTCACCCGGGAGGCCTTCCAAAGCCAGTCACTCACTTACCCGGGGGCCAGGGGGCCCAGAATCGCCCGTGTGTCCCTTGAAGCCCTGGAAGAAATAAGATGGAGTTACTTCAACAAACAGTAGGCTCAAGGGGCAAAGGAAGGGTGTAGGCTTAGTGTGATGGCCCAGAGCAGGTACATCTTCTCCTGTGGCTTTGGCTCCACCCAACTCTGCTCATTGTCAACTGCCAGACAGACGCTGGGCCCTGCTGTGTGCTCAGAACGGGGAATAAGGCAGGAAAGGAGAAGGGGGAGGGGCGCAGAGATGGAGGGGGAGGATGGGGGAGGGGTGCAGTGATGGAGGAGAAGGATGGGGGAGGGGCGCAGTGATGGAGG